GATCTCACCCCACCTGCCAAGCGGCGACTCCCAGGGAGAGTGATTGCCATGCGGCATGCTGGCTGTAATAATCGCCTCTAACCATCAATTATTATCTAATCTGCCGTGCGGTTTCATTACCGGCGTCATTTGTGCTGCTCTCATGGGTTCCGTGTGGGGCGAAAGTCCTTCAAATTAAACGGGGAATGTAACAGCTTCAAAAGCAATAACTCTGGCGCACAAGCAGATTAGACGGGCGGGGGAGGTGTTAACGTGTTTGGGACAAAGGCAGCATTAGCGTTTCACAGCGTGGCCAGGAGCTGGGAACGGGGATTGGAAACACCGTCACCCTCAACACGAACACTCCAGGGGGTCCCTAACACTTGCTTTCTGGAGGGCGGGAGCAAGAGGGGGTGAGGGATGTTAATTCACCTTGCAGAGCGTGGCCTCCTTGGCCTGACATTTGAGACCTGGGTTCTCTTCCCATGTCTGCCACTAGCCCCGGGGGTGACGTTGGCCAAGTCCCTCCCCTGCCCCTTTGCCGGCTGAGGCTGTAAGGTCTTTGGGGCAGGCCCTGCCTCACAGGCTCTCTCGTGCCTGAAGAGAAGGCGAGCTTGGATGCCAGCATCACACCATGAAATAGAACCGGAGCTGCACAGCGGGGGGGTGTACGCAGATGGCGCGCCGTAGTCTACAGCCCCCGAGGGGCCAGCCAGCCGACTGGCAGTAAAAGCACCACCGCACTCGAGCCCAGGGTGTTTGTGTGTGGACAGGACCAATGCTCACCTTAACTCTGCATGAACCTGAGCCCTTGGCCTGTTTCCATGCAGTGCCCAGATATTGGGGCTTCCATATTGGACCTCCAGGCACCACCATAATAACAACTTTGCACATCTCTCAGGACTGGGCATTAACCTGCGGCATGTCAGGCAGGGGGTCCCCGGATGGCGTCTCTGGCAGGGGGTCCCCGGATGGCGTCTCTGGCAGGGGGTTCCCCGGATGGCGTCTCTGGCAGGGGGTCCCCGGATGGTGTCTCTGGCAGGGGGGTCCCGGGAAGGCGCCTCTGGCAGGGGGTTCCCCGGATGGCCTCTCTGGCAGGGGGTCCCCGGATGGCGTCTCTGGCGACGGGGGTCCCCGGAAGGCGTCTCTGGCAGGGGGTCCCCGGATGGCGTCTCTGGCGACGGGGGTCCCCGGAAGGCGTCTCTGGCAGGG